AGCAAAAGTTAAATCTCGCCTTTGATTTAATTCTACAAGTCAGGTCAGGTCAATTAAATTAACTTTTAATCTGTTGCGGAATCCTTTCTGAACAGGCCCAACCAGAAGGCTCAAGAATGGGTACATGGGGCTGATGCTGTGGCGTAGCAGTTAAAGCCACCACCTGCAGTGCCAGCATCCCATATGAGCGCCAGTTCTACTCCTGGCTGCTCCACTTCCATTCCAGCTCTCTGCTATGGCCTGGAAAAGCAGTAGAAGATGGCCCAAGTCCTTGGGCCCCCGCACCCGCATGGGAGATCCAGAGGAAGCTTCTGGCTCCTGGCTTTGGATCAGCGCAACTCCAATTTGTGTTTTAGATGACCAGAGGGGGAAAAAAAAAAAAAAAAAAGAAAAAATACATGGCAGAAAACAGGAGCATCTAATTAATAAACACAAATAAAAGGATGTTAGAATACAGTGGATTTTGTGTTTGTGGACTCCATTTGTCCCACACATACAGTAACCTGTCCCTACATCCCACATCACGTTACTTACAAAAGCAGTGTACTCACTTACATGCAGATTCTAAAACAACTCACAGAAGCAGAGAACAGTGGCTAGGGATGGCATACCAAGGGTAGAAAGCCTCAGATGGGAAGAATATGGTTTGGGATTATTGTGTGTTTGCTTGTTTGTTTTTGAGATCTATTGCACTGCACAATGAATATGGCTAACAACTCAGTACTATATATGGTTTGGGATTATTGTGTGTTTGCTTGTTTGTCTTTGAGATCTATTGCACTGCACAATGAATATGGCTAACAACTCAGTACTATATATTCCAATATTACTAAGAGAATAAATATCAAATGTTATCATAATATCAAAATGTCAGAGTTGGGATGACAGGCTAATTGGATTGATTTAATCACTCCACATTGTATTCAAAAATCACATCACTTTGTATGCCACAAATATATAAATACAATTATAATTTGATATATAATTCTTAAGTGTGTGAATCAACTTAAAACTTTAAATTAAAGACACAAATAAGTGAACAAACTTATGCTCTCCTAAGTAAGAATCAAAATAACATGTGAAGGGAAAGGGGGTCTGGCACTAGGCAGGCTGAACAGTAGCTAGCAAAGGAAACTGCCAGTATGCGGGAGAGAAGACCTGCTGGTGATGGGGCTGTCACCACCACAAATACCTTCAACAAACAGCTCTGCCCTCAGAGCCACCATGACACTTCCAACAAACCACCAAGCTAAAAACTAACTCTGATAGTTTTCCTGGGAAATCTAAGATAAGATCTCTTTACAATGATTTCTTTGGGATGTGAATGTATTTGAGATATATATTGTTGTCTGTTTGCAAAGACAAATTTTTCTTAGGATTTCATGTTCACTCATACATGTAAATATATGCTGGGGCAGGCATTTGGCATAGTGGTTAAAATGTCTACATCCCACACAGGAATGCCTGGATTCCAGTCTCAGCTCTGGCTCCTGATTTCAGTTTCCAGCTAATGTGCACCTCCCAAGAAGCAGCAATGATGGCTCAATTAACTGGGTTCCTGACACCCACATGGGAGACTTGACTGCATTCCCAGCTCCCAACTTCAACCATGCAGGCATCTGGGGAGTGAACCAGGAAATGGGAACTCTCTCCTACTCTCTCCTCCTCCTCTCTCTCTCTCTCTCTGCTTCTCAAACAAATTAAAAAAAAAAAAAAAAAAGAAAAGGAAAAACTAAAGAACAGAAGCCAATTTCATAAAAAATACAGCAGGCCTGTCATACACTGTATTACCTAAAACAATTATAAATCTAAACTACCATTATAGATCTTTTCAATCTCCAACTTTTTACGCTGGCTGATAACTGTAGTCATACCTCCACTTATTAACAAAAACAAACAAACAAACAAACAATAACACCTCCATGTTAACTTTTGTTTCATTTTTTAAAACTAGTTTAGCTGCATTTAAAAAAAATTCCTTATTTATTTGAAAGTCAGAGTTATAGAGAGAGGGAGAAACAAAGAAACAGAGATTTTCCATTCACTGGTTCACTCCCCAGATGGTCGCAACAGCTAGGGCTGAGTCAGGCTGATGTCAGGAGCCATGAGCTTTATCCGGGTCTCCCATGTGGGTGCAAGGACCCCAGAACCTGGGCCATCCTCCACTGAAATTCCCAGGTGCATCAGAAGGGAGCTGAATTGGAAGTGGAGCAGCTGGGACTCAAACCGGAGCCCATATGGGATGCCAGCATTGCAGGCGGTGGCTTTACCTGTTAACCCACAACACAGTCCCCTCCATTGTTAACTTTTAAAAGCCCAAATGAGAATTTCTTTCAAAGACCTTTTTTATGGCTAATTCTCATCATGTAAGATGTTAACTTTAGCACAGCTAAAACACAATTTTTAATTAATGGAAACTATAAAGTTTCAGCATGTCATGCTCCCTCAATCTCCTGCCACACTCATTCTTCACTATGATAACAGATGGTGACTTTTTCAAAGTCAGTCTCTGCTGCTTTCCCTGCAAAGCCTCAATGTATCATGTTCTCTATTTCATTTTCAACCTTTCACTCCTTTCCATCAAGGTTTCTCCCCCTGGATTTTCTCTCTTTTTCACAAAATTTCCTTACCTTAAACTTGCATGTCAATCAACTCCCATCAGATCTGTCCCCCAAAAGTCAAGTGTGACTTCACTGTTGTTATATACATCCAACCAATGTGCATTTTCAGTTCTTATTTTACTTGGCTTCTCTGTGATGAAGATTTAACTCACAGTGCCCAGAATTTGGTATCCACAGCCCCTCATGTTTGGCTTGACTAATGCCTCCAGCTCCCACAGTGAGATCTCAGGGCCCCCACTACATGCTCAACTTCCTCTCTCTAGAGCCCTATTCCACTTGAGTCTTCTTCAATGTGGGTCCTTCTTGACAGTTAAGGTTTCTGGGTAACCCCACAGATCATGCTGATCACATTATGTGTGGGCCACCAGTGTGCTGACAATTCCAAAGCAGACAACTGCATATAGTAAACACTGAAGAGATGTAGAACTGCTGGAATTAATTTCACCCAATAAAGAAGCTGTTATCACTACACAGATGTAACAGCACAAAATGAACCAGATGGGTGCTACATGTTTTCTTAGGATCCGGAATATGTCAAGAATGTCAGCCAGCGAAGCGGCTCACTAGGCTAATCCTCCGCCTTGCGGCGCTGGCACACCGGGTTCTAGTCCCGGTTGGGGCGCGGGATTCTGTCTCAGTTGCCCCTCTTCCAGGCTGGCTCTCTGCTGTGGCCAGGGAGTGCAGTGGAGGATGGCCCAAGTACTTGGGCCCTGCACCCCATGGGAGACCAGGAGAAACACCTGGCTCCTGCCTTTGGATCAGCGTGGTGCGGGGCCGCGCGCCCATTGGAGGGTGAACCAATGGCAAAAGGAAGACCTTTCTCTCTGTCTCTCTCTCTCACTGTCCACTCTGCCTGTCAAAAAAAAAAAAAAAAAAAGTCCAAATACACTCAACATACTAGAGCTAATTCCCCATTTACTCAATCTAATAAGTATAAATGATACTGTCAAGTTTTTAGTAACAATTTCTCTCAAAATGGACAAAACTAAAACATCACTAGTACCGCATGTTATGTGTGTCCTGAGCAAACAGAAAGTGTTATCTCAATCTGCATAATCCTAAGGGAAAAAAAAAACATGAATATTTCCTCTAGGAGGAAAATATCTTGCCCCACACCTATACCCAGGAAAGTCCTATATATGAGAATATTAAAAAGTTAAAAGAAAAACATTAATTAAAAACTGTATTAGGGGCTGGCACTGTGGGTTAGTAGGCTAAGCCCCTGCCTGCGGCACCAGCATCCCATATGGGCACTGTTTCAAATCCTGGCTGCTCTTTTTCTGATCCAGCTCTCCACTGTGGCCTGGAAAAGCGGCAGAATATGGCCCAAGTGCTTGGGCCCATGCAACCACGTGGGAGTCTCAGAGGAAGTTCCTGGCTTCAAATTGGCCCACCTCTGGCCATTGCAGCCATTTGGGGAGAAAACCAGTGGATGGAAGACCTCTCACTCTGTCTCTCCCTCTCTCTCTCTGAAATTCTACCTCTCGAATAAAGAATAAATAAAAATATTTTTTAAAAATTGTATTTCTGTTTTCCTCTACCATAATCCTTTCATTTTTCAGATACCCCCAATCAACATCTATAACACTAATGAGTCATGTTCACCGCCAGAATTTCCATAACAGGAGAGACAAAGCAGCTGCATTCTCTAATGGATATAGACTGAATTGGAAAATGCATTTGCTTGACAAGCACATTATTTTATTTAGATGGTATATTTATTTGTGATGGATTTATAGTGATGATGGAAATCATACCTCGGAAACAGAGACTCCCAAGATACTGTCACAAGTAATACAAAACCTTCATTATAAGCAAACCAAAAATCTATTAATAAGCAAAAGATGCAGCATCACTTTTGCACTATACATCTTATAATTGTACAAGACACCAATATCAAATATGTAATCACTTAAATATCACAAGGATGACTATTATCTAAACGAAAAGCAAATTTTCCAAAAGACTTATCACATTGTGGCAGACACATGAACCATCAGGATGTTAGAAGGAGCCAGCAATACCACCCTCAATATTTATAGGACGGGCAGAGTTGAGGGAGACAAGTTTCCAAGAGGTGCAATGGAGAAGTAAACAGATGAGCTTATTCTTGTGTACTATTCTATAAAAATAAGATCAGCCATATCAGAAAGACTAGAAAGAAAGAATTTCAACAAGATACGACATAAAAGTGGAGGCTATGATCTTTCACTGCTTAAGAACTGCTATTCTATTAACTTTACTGTACTGCCCATTTACCAACATGAATGCTACCAGAACATTTGATATGAACTTTAAACATTTATTAACATTGTGTGTTACAAGACTCCTACATAAAACTGGTGCTAGAATCAGCTTTGGGCTTTGGTGCAAGCTTACCTGATACAGCTGTAATGCTTGAAGGTGCTGGCCGCATTCTGACATTCCAGGCATAGCTGTATTGCCCCAGGATAGTCTTCCTCCTTAGACAACCACAGAAGCCATCAGACTGCAAACATTTTTTCTTAAAGCCCCTCATAAAAACACCTCACTGTTTCCACTGCAACCACAAGCCACAGAATCCAAAAACTGTAATGCCTCTTAAACAAGGATCAGAACACCAATTAATAAGTAACAAAGAGACAGCTAACTCTAGGCCTAACAAGTATGCACAGAAAAAAAAAATTTAAATCATTCTGTTTCCTTCAACACAGAGTAACAGGCCTCTGAGACACAACAAAGTCTACACAGAATTACACGCTGCTCTACAGAGAAAGCTTTCTTCCAATGTACCATCTCCTTCCAGGGAAGTTTACACAAGATGCTCCCCGACGGTACGCATTCTACCTGTAATCCACATTCAACGGTTCTACCACCAAGGAAAGAGATCCACAAACATTTCTAAAGAAATGAATTTGGGAAAAATAGTGAAGTATTCACTAATAATCTCACAATATTTTTATCCCACAAACAGTAATTTAGTATCAAATGAAGTTCTCAAATGGGTTTCTCAAGCTCTAGTTTAGTAGTCATCCTTTAGAAGGAAGACAATTATCTCAAAAACCACAGATAATGTTCCCTACGCTCCTATCTAAATTCCACAGGTGCAAGACAAACCATGGGGTACACAGAGACAATGACAAAGCACTCACCCCCATGGAGCTCACATATTACAGGGAACTACACTTGTTACATGATATTTTGGAGAACTTCATTACTATATTTTGACTATAACACTAAGAATACAGAGAAGAAATACAGGAGAAAACAGCTCAATCAGAAAAACAATTAACACATGAGCTATCAATTATAACCAAGAGATCATACATTACTTAAACCATGACTATTTGTTAGATGTCAAATTTGATTTTACTATGGCCTGGACACAATGTAGCCAAAAGACTGAAGTTATCCTTCCAATGTTACATTATTTCAAATAAATGCTTTCCCAAACAAATGTGTTTTTCTAAATGAAGTATACATTATGTCAGTAGGAAAAAGTTCTACAAGAATCTTAGCATGTCTATGAATACACCTTTTCCATACACCAACTGGAGAAAACATGCCTTGTTAACTTACCTCCAGCATTTCACTTAAGCGTACATCTGTTCTTTGCTGAAAAAAAACAAAAATCAAAGGTAAAATCTGTTTCAACCACAAATCAAGTTTCAATTTGTAAAAAGTGGCCTATATATACCAATGTTTTGATCGTTCTCAGAGATTTCAGGAGGCCAATCAGCAGCTGACGCTTCCTTTGATTTGCAAGGAGGCCTAAGCTAGCTTGAGTAAAACCTTCTTTTGCAATATTCAGGTGTCTGCAAAAGGGAACAACACATGGTTAAAACTTTCTAGTACAGTAAGAATTATTATCAACACAGAAAAATTCTGGCAACTAGTGATGGGGTGACTGACCTGGATTACTCTTAGAACAGGACTATGGCTACTATTTGACAAACATATTCAATTACTTGGTCTAAGCAGACATTTTTCAACATGCTGGGAGTAGAATAAGAAAAGAACAGGGGCTGGCATTATGGCATAGGAGGTAAAGATGCCACCTGCAGTGCCAGCATCCCACATGGGCACCAGTTTGACTCCTGGCTGTTCCATTTCCAATCTAGCTTCCTGCTAATGTACCTGAGAAAGCAGTGGAGGACAGCCCAACTGCTTGGGGCCCTGCCCCGACGTGGGGGACCTGAAAGAAGCTCCTGGCTCCTGACTTCAGCTTGGGCCAGCCATGGCCACTGCAGCCATTTGGGGAGAGAACCCGTGGATGGAAGAGCTCTTCCCTGTCTCCCTCTCTCTCTCTCTCTCTGTAACTCTGCCTTTCAAATTAAATACATGATCTTTAACAAAAGAAAAAAAAGGACAGAAATGTAGAATAAACATTTAAAAGTTTAATACAGGGGCCAGTTTTGTGGCACAGCATGTTAAGCTGTCGCTAGAGGGACTGGCATCCCACATCAGAGTGCTGGTTTGTGGCACAGCTTCACTTCTGCTAATGCGCCTGAGAAGGCAGCAGGTGATGGTCCAAATGTGTGGGCCCCCGCCACCCATGAGAGACCTAGAGTGACGTCTGCACTCCTGGCTTTAGCCTGTCCAAATCCTGGCTGTTGCAGCCATTTGGGGAGTGAACCAATGGGTGGAAGATCTCTCCACCTCACTTTCTCTCCCTGTCTCTCCGTCTCTTTCTGTCACTCTTTCAAATAAATAAATCTTAAAAACTTAATAAAATGTTTACAAGATAATTTCATTTTCCTAGTAATTTGATTTTATTGCGTTTCACAGAATAACAGACTGACGAGTTGGAAAAAATAAAAAGCTGGTCTTTCACCGTAAATAGTTTAAGAAGCACTAGTCTAAACTATATAAAAAAATATTTTTTTAGCCCATGAGTAGATGTATAGATATCACCATACACCCTTATGGTGCAGTGTTTACATCACAACATAAATTCATTTAAGGAATGGCATTCAAGAAACCATAGCATAATGGAAAATCAATTATTAGGATGGATTTCATAGTTATTGGAATATTTTGCAGTTTAAAGAACAAAGTATCATCAGAAGCAATACCTCCTCCCATTGGTGCAGATAACAGCAGCCAGCTGAAGTCCTGTCTGCAGTGAGGTAACTCTTTCAAGTTCCTATGGAAACATCAGCTATAGGTTATCATTTGAAACATTCTTTTTTTTCTTATTTACATGGCATGCTAACAAAAATTCTAGTGGGTTTCAAAGAAAAGCCTCCTTAGAAAGCAAAGTCACATCAAAAATACCTGAACGTGAGAAATGTTAGTATATATCCCACAAAATCATTTAAAATGACTACTTTCACTGATTTTCACAATGACATATGATAAAATATTTAATTAGGATTGCTTGGGAAGAAATCTAAACCCATCCTGTTTTAGACAGGGAAAAAAAAAAAAAACAATGTCAATAATAATATACTCCTTTAAATATTTCTACCCAACACAACTTCTCAATGTAATTAAGTATATGACAAATATACACTAGGATTTCTGTTGGCTAAGATTTTTTGACAATCAATGCCTTCATCTGAACTGGCAGACATTTTCTATGGAGGCTCTGATTTTCTAATGAAAATACAGATTCAGCTAGACAGTCTCAATTTTGCCATATTTTAAAGCTGGACTGTTGTACAGACATTGAGTCATCATTATCGCTGGTCTAGAAGTCTGTCACAAAGCTAAATGAAGCAATTCTTCTCAAATTTTCTGAAGTTTAATAAACCAAAGAAATCACTTTAGCATCATAAATAAACACTGCTACACTTCTTCAGTTTGGTAAATTCTCCTAAATGACAGAAAAGTGTACACATGCACACACACACACAACACATTCCTCAATTAGTCAAGTTGTGGCTACAGATTATGAATAGAAGAACAATTACAATATTTTGACAGTTTAAAGTATAAATTACTCAACTATTTTTAAAATTTTACTAAAAAAAAATATCCTACCTTTACATAGGCAGGCTGTTTTTCAAGGATTAAATCTGCTACTTTTTTAGAGACCTACAAGAACATGCAATCAAACAAAGGAAGTAAAAGAAAAAGCCTCATGCTTCCTACTACATTTTACATTTACAGTTTTTTGCACATATATTTCATAGGTCTTCCCAATAACTTCTAGAGCAAAAATCGACATGCTATGGCCACACACACTTCCTTGGTCTATGAAATTAGCAAAAGAGGTCATGTAGTAAAGCACCCAGCACCATTCTTAATCAAAACTCAATAAATGATCATTATTGCTGTCAGTAATATTGAGTTTCATTCTCTGACTTGGCATACACAAAGATGTAACCATTTTAAGGGTACAGGATTTGATTTAGAAAGATAAACCTGTTAGGACAAGTAAATGTTTAGTCAATTTATGAAGACAATAGCTTGTACCCTTCACACCCTTTGGACCACAAAAGAAGTTAAACAAGATGTTTGGTCGCTCTGCTCCTGAGAAATTGAAAACACAAGTTTTGAGGAATACTATGACAACACCTAAGGTTCTGCTGGTCAATCCCATGTATGTTAACATGTGCTGTACAATCAGAATGACTTTGGACATGAGGCTCCCACTGCACAATTTCAGGGCCTCCGCCAATTACAGCGCAACCAAACACAGCACACAGAAGGTCTGTAGCAAGTGTCAGCTCGGGAAGCCTACCTGGCTCCTTCCCCCAGGCCGAATGAGAACAAAACACTGCACACTCATTAACTACTGCACCCATCCTTCCACGTTTCTTAATCTGTTCCAAACATCTTTGAAATTATGTGATCTACTTCCTAGATAGTCACTGCTTTTGCCTAGAAGGTTTCCATCAAGGTTAGAAAATCGAACTTTAAATAGCTTAATAAAGAAATACCCTTGTTAATCTTAAATATCATTTTAAGAATTACAAAGATTCCATAGGAACTGCTGATCACATTTAGGATTCCAGTCAGAGAACAAATTCTAGAAGCAAATCTATCAAACACAAGGAAAACTGCACCAGCATTAAACTTTAATATACATGTATCATTTGGGTCAAAGTTGTTAAATAATAGAACTTGTTTGTATGTTAACAGATTAGTTCAAACCATAAAATCTGCAAACCTTACACCTCAGTTTTGTCTTGCCTACACTTTTATTGGGAAGAAATGTGACTTTTTACTTACTGCAGCTTGCTGCTGCTTCAGTTTGTCTCTGTACTCCTCTAATTCTTGCAAATTGAGAACAGGTGGGAGCTTCTACAGAAAAAAAATTCATAAACAAAGAGTTAAAAAATAAACTGCTCAATTCGATTTCATTTATCTGGCCACCTGTGACTAATGAACCACAATCTGTGAGCACAAAACAGTGGCACAGCCCACTGCCCTGCGTCTTTCCTGTCCTCCAGTCTCCCTCACGAACCTCCAGCCACAAAAGCCTCCATATGTGCACCACATAACCCGGGTTCCATCCCTCAAGTAGCCTTGCTACCTCCAGGAAACCCCATTACCACCTGGGCTCCCAGCCCCGGGTACAGAGACACGGTTTCTGTGACCTCTACAAGGAGGATGTGGGGACAGCCCCTAATCCCAATCCCCGATTCCACCAGCCCAGGACTGTCCCTAATTTTGTACGATAAAATGCAAAACAGATTTCCCATCTGAAACATTCTGAATGGTTAACAGGGACAGTGCGAGTTGTTGGACTACATTCTGGATGACATCAGCTTACAGAAGACAGTCTAGGAAACTAACAACAAACACGCGAGTCATCATGTATGTGGGCAAATGAGCTCCAGGTCTCAGTCACCTGCTGGCAAAACTTCCGGCTGGGGTGGGGTGAATTGGTGGATGCTACTTGCACGGGTATGTATGCACACTATATTCGCTTTTCTCTTAAAACCAAAGTACTATTCTGCCATTATTTTTTTGAGGTTCTTACAAATTCAAAAAGCCAGTATTGTTAACATTATGTCACAGAAGCGTTTATCACAACTAAACAGCTATGCAGTACACATTCATGATTAATAGTCTCAGAGCTTTCCTAAACATATTCAGATAATATAAAATAGGAGAGAAGCAGCATACTAATATGCTGGATGTTAACAACTGAAAACTACGGGGTGGAGGCGGGATGGGGGTGGAGGGAGACCAGCATTGTGGTGTATCCAGTAAAGTCGCGCCAGCAAAGCAGGCATCCCTTATGGGCACTGGTTCATGTCCCAGCTGTTCCACTGCTGATCCAGCTTCCTGTTAACGTGCTTGGAAAAGCGCTGGAAGATGGCCCAAGTGCTTGGGCCCCTGCACCCATGTGGGAGACACAAAAGAAGTTCCTGGCTCCTGGCTTCAGGATGGCCCAGCCCTAGCCACTGTGGCTATTTGGGGAGTAAACTAGTGGATGGAAGATCTCTCTCTCTCTCTCTCTCTCTCTCTCTCTCTCTCTCTCCCTTTCTCGCTCTCTCTATAGTTCTGACTTTCAAATAAATAAAATCATAAATCTTAAAAAAAAAAAAAGATGAAAGAAACCCAAAACTATAGAAATGTTTCCCTACTGGTATTCCAGACTTGCACTTAAAATTATGTTCTTAAAAATAATTTCATTTTAAATAATGCTGACACTCAGTTAGCCATCATGTGGGAATAATACACCTGCTTTGGTATCATAAAAATATAAACACAAATGCCCCTAAAAGGGATGCAAATCTCACAAATGCAATCATTCAATAACAAAAGGCAGTAGGCATATTTTAAAGAAATCTTTTTTGTTTTACCTCCAGTTCATATTTAACAATATCAAATGAGTCTGCAGAAAAATATACTTGTTCAATGCTATTAATCAGCTCTTGTTCAGCTTGAGGGTCACTGGGCTGTTCTCGGAGTTCCCTGAATTCCTCCTTTAGGGACAAAAAAAAAAAGCATGGTTATTATAGTTACAGTTTTTAATATTCCATCTGCGTGGAAATCATCTGTCTTAACAGTCTGTCTTCTAATCAAAGATACAAACTAACAGGAACCCTGAGCAGCAGCCAGCCAACCCTATTGGCAATCTCAGAGCTCCTGCCAGGCAGAGAAACCCTGGCTCCGAAGAAGTCCACATGCTTAGCTCTGCGATTCCATGAGGCTTCCTTCTGATTTTGAACCAAACTCCGTTATTTCATAAAATGTTTTCTTTCTAATGATGCAGAATGAGGCTTCTTTGGATTTGCACAACAGAAAAGAGCTTCATAAACAAACCCCTACCCCTGATGTCAGCATTCTTATCCTATGCAATTTTACCATATAAATGGATGAAACTTCAATTCATAAGAATTTCAATAATTCAGATATCTACTCCCCTGCCATGTTGGTTAATCACTTTTATGATTATGATTGTTATTATTATGGACAGGTAGCAAGTTAACCTTGTGATTTCTTATTCAAATTAACCTCAAGCACATTTATGTACACCAAAAAATTATTATTAAAAATCATTTTACATTCATTAAAATACTCTAAAATCTTAATGAATCATCAACTAATCAAGCATACAAAAATTACCTGGTCAATTAAAGAATATCAATTTCCAAATATAGTTAGTCTAGAATATTTTATTACCGCACATTTTCCTTTAATTTATAAAAAGAGCTAGTTTGTAGCACACATTTGATGTAGCAGTTAAGACATCCGTTGAGATGTCTGCATCTGCTATCCGAGTGCCTTGGTTCAAGTCTTGGCTCCACTCTGAATTCCAGCTTCTTGCTAATGTGCATCCTGGGAGGCATCAGGTGACGGCTCAAGTACTTGGGTCCCTCTACCCACACAGGAGCCTGGACTGAGTTCCAGGCTTCTGGCTTCAGCCTGGCTCAGTCCCTGCCATTGTGGGCATCTGGATATCTGTCAGTCTCCACTCCCCCACCACATACACACACACACACTCTCACCTTCACTCTCTTCGTCTACCTGTCAAATAAGTAAACAATTTTTTAAAAATTAAAAAAGGGTTGGCTTGGACATCATTTAGAGTTTAATATTATATATTTATAAAATTATTAACTATAAAATTGCCCTTATGAGTAGGCTCAAGCTCAAAGAAAATATTAGAACAATAAATCACAATCTCAGAAGGTGAACTGTTTAAATGTGAACTTCCAATAAATTTTAAAGTGAAGGTGAAGTCATATTAAAAAAAAAATCAAACCTGCATAATCAAATATGCATGAGAAAGGAGATACCTCTTATAAAACAGACTCACAAAAAAATAAAGGTTAAAAGCACAGCCATCACTGATACAGCAAGAGATGAGATCCTATGAATGCAGTCAGAAACCTCACATCCTCATAGAGTGAGCAATGCTCCTGTGAGGGTGTGCCCACAACACACAACACGCTCATCCATGTGGCACTCTGGACAGTGATGCCGGGAATCCACGTAGGCTCGACCCATCCCACCTGTGGAAGGAAGGTTCCCAACTAGTCTCTCAACAGGTATGCATCCAGTGGGATGTGGCAGCACAGTGAGCCCAGGCATGTAAGAGGTCAGAATGTCAGGCATTTAAAACACCAGCTTTCATTCACTGAAATGTCATATGCTGAGGGAGGAAACAAGGGCCTGGAGACAGGATGTGGCAACGTGGCCTCGCTAGGAATTCTGCAGCACCAGGAGCAAATACATGCAGTCGGTCTCATTCATGTGTGTGTGTGTGTGTGTCTTTAAAAAATTGCTAAGATTGAAAAATATCAGGTACATCTAGTCAAGCCAAAAATTCAAATAGGCGGCAATAATCAAGTACTTAAATGAATACATGCCAATGGCACCTAATATCATACTAAGGTTGTCAGCATAGGACCTACAGATTGATATGAAAGTAAAGACACCAGGTTTTAGCTGCAGCTCAGAATCACCCTTGGGCAAGTTAGTTTCTTCATGCCTAGTTTTTTTCACCCGTAAAGGATACATAGACATATTTTCACTCGCTCAAAATAACAATGAAACAAATATCCAAAGTTATTAAGAATATGAAGGAGAACCACAATGCATTTATAAACACCTCTTAGGTGTGCGGTGATGAATGATGGACCCATGAGAAGGGCACAGTGTGTGCATGGACATAAGAGGTCAGATGCCAGTCCCTCCTAGAGAAATGTGCAGTTAACACCATAGGCTGCACACAGACCCACATGACTTGAAAGAACTGACCTGGAACACTTGATACTCCAGAGTAGAAAACCTGAGCTAAGGAGGGATACACTGAGAAAAGCAAAAATAAAAGTATCATATGAAGAAGAATGCAACCCAAAACAATGGCCCCCAGATAACATCACATCCCTACAAATACCCTCTTCCTTTCGGCCACTTTGGTGGCTCCCATGTGACAATGGAAAGTGAAGTTATGCAGAGGACCGCACGCTGAAGAGAATCCAAAGGGCCTTGTCCTCTGCAGTCCCAGCGCTCGCAGTCACAAGACTGCTTCCCGCTCACACTTCCCGTGGTGCCTGGCAGCCACGCACGTGGGCACTGGGTCCAGTGCCAGCTTCTTGAGACCACAGACCCCTGCTAACTCCCCGTCCACCTGCAGGCTCCCCGCACCAAGCACCCTGGAGCTCATAATCACAGGCCAAGCCAAACAATTCATACACCCCCCCCCCGCCCCCCCCACCCCCTGCCCCTGCATTCAGAAAGGAAAATAACAGAAACAAAGGAAAAGGCAGCATGTTCTCCTTTTGATAGTCAAAACTTCCCACCAATTGCTAATGACAGGTTTTCCTTCCCACTAGAAGTAACAATAGATGTTAAATGATTTGGGCTTATTTTATGCGTGGGAACCAGAAAAGTAAACACAAGCAGCTATTCTGCATACTCCAGCACAATTACTCCTTAATTTTGCCATAATATAAACCAATTTCTTAGGATTAAAAATGCACAAAAATGCACAGGATTTCATCTAAAAGAGAACCTGCTTGGAGGGCCAATAAATGGGTGGGAGGCAAAATCTTAGATAAACAAAATTAAAAAGATTCCCTACAAAAAAATTAAATGGCAAAATTGGAGGAAAAACTGCCACTTGAAACTCTTGACATCATAAAATGTGCGATTCAGGGGCTGGTGCTGGGGTGCATGGGTTAAACCCACAGCCAGCAGTGACAGCAAACCATATGGGCGCTACTTCAAGTCCCTACTGCTCCACTTCTGATCCAGCTCCCTGCTTTTGCTCCTAGAAAGCAGCGGAGGATGGCCCAAGTTCTTGGGCCACTGCACCTCTGAGGGAGACTGGGAGAAGCTCTTGGCTCTTGGCTTTGGCCTGGCCTCACCCTGGCAGTTTCAGCCATTTGGGGAGTGAACAAGCATATGGAAGATCAGTTTCTCTGTCTCTCCTCTCTCTCTCTGTAACTCTGCCTTTCAAATAAATAAATAAATCTTAAGAAACAAGAAAAAGAAAAAAAAATGCTAAAAAAATGTGAAATTTAAGAAAACATTTACAATAACATTAGCTATTTAAACTAAGTTTGGGGTAAAACATTTTAGTCTTACAAATTGCCATGACATCAATAAAACGCTTAAAATGATGTATTTTCAGTGAACCTGGTGTCACGCAGTAACTGCTCAATGCAGATTGACATTAACAGTAGTTTAAGTGACCTGTGAAACCTGACTCCCAAGGCACCTGGCCCACAACCACAGAGGGTTAAGTGTGCCACCACCTGCCTGCCAATGCTAATCAAGCACAGTTAAAGAAAACAGGAGCAGCGTCCCCCAGAGTTACAGCAGGAGAAAAACTACAAGTAAGGAATTTCAGCGCAGAGCAGAGGAAATGAAAGTGTAAAAGGCAAAAATACACCAAATCTGCCCCTCCCCCTCGGACTGTCCTCAGGAACAACCCCGCCCACATTCAAAACTCTCAGCCTCCTCTTGGTGAGTAACACAGCTCCTCCCTCACAGGCTGCTGCAATCAGAGGGCTGGGACGGAGGCAGGGAGGCAGGGAGGGATGGGGCGGTCCCCTCCAGGGAAAAAGGAACAGATCTGGAGGAGATGAGAACTGGTAGAACTTCCCACCTCAGACCCTGGGGAGGCAGTCACCAGTAGGAAGCAAAGCACAGGGAAAGGCACGGGCACAACAGGTGGAGTGTCGCTCCCCCTCTTCGCGGAGGAACGACACAGGACCCTGCGCTGTTCTTTCGTCTGCTCGGCCCTCCCCGGGTTTGCTGCTGGTTCTTCCCGGGTTGGCTACTATCCCTTCCACCTCCGTGGAAGGGCGGTTCCCCCTGGCCACATTCCCCACTTCCGCAGGGGAGCGGCACACCGCCGGCCGGCTTTCTCGGGGGCTGCACAGGTGTTCCCCTTAGATGTTCCCCTTAGATGTTCCTGGTGCATGCCGTCTCTCTCCTCCTTTATAGTCCTCCTCTGCCAATCCCAACTCGGCTGCCCACACGCCGAGTACGCTGCTCTCCTCCAATCAGGAGCAAGTCCTGCTGTTTATTGGTTGAACTGGAGGCAGCTGGGTAGAAGCTGTTTTCTCCTCTCCCAGCGCCATATTGTGGGAGAGCAGATGCATAGAATAAGTCTTAATTCCAGTAACAGTATAGTCCGAATTGCTCCCCACAGATCCCCCTTTCTTTTTATTTTTTGGCGTTGATACGCGCCTGTCTTCGGTGTCCCGCGGCACACACTCTGCTCTACTTGCTAGAGTTGTCACAGGTTCTTACAAGTCCTATCAATCAGGCAAAGCGAATCCGGGTCCTCTCTTCGCCATGTTGTGAGGAGGTTTCTAGGCGCTGATGCATGCCTGTGTTCGGTGCCCTGCAGCGCATGCTCTGCTCTGCCTGCAGGGGCTCACAAGCCCTAACAATCAGGCAAACCGAATCCAAGCCTCCTAATTGCCGTATTGTGGGGAGGCCTTACTGATGTTAATTCGTGCCT